TCCAACTCTGGCCATTGTAGTGTCTGTCTGTCTCTCGCTCGTGTCTGTGTGTGTGTGTGTGTGTGTGTGTGTGTGTGTGTGTGTGTGTGTGAACAAACTCCGGTTTTCAAATAAATGAATGTTTTTTTAATTTATAAACAAAATTTTAAAAGAGTCAATCATGGATTTTCCACATACAAAGTACGAGGTAAGCAATCACAATCATTTTTCAAAGGTTTTACTTCTTCTCATTTTGAAAGGCTGGTTCACTTACAAAGCTCTGCAGCCAGCAGGGCAGAGCAGCAGCTCGGTCCGGGCCGGCTATGCAGGTGGCAGAGTCCACACTGACACCACCCCTGCGTCACTGTCACACCCAAGCTGGGCCCTGGCAGGACTGGACAGGTGAGGCTAGGACTCCAACCAGCCACTCCCATCTGGAACACAGCTTCCCTACAGCATCTTACTGTTACACTGTGCCACATGCCTGCCCACATCACTTTTTTTTAAAGATTCATTTTTTTTTTTATTTGAAAGTCAGATTTAGAAAGAGAAGGAGAGACAGATCTTCCATTTGCAGGTTCACTCCACAAGTGGCCACAACAGCTGGAGCTGAGCTGAGCTGAAGCCAGGAGCCAGGAGCTTCTTCCAGACCTCCCAAGGCTTTGGGCCATCCTCCACTGCTTTCTCAGGCCACGAGGAGGGAGCTGGATGGGAAGTGGAGCTGCTGGGACACAAACTGGGGCCCACATGGGATCCTGGCACATTCCAAGTGAGGACTTCAGCACCTAGGTTAGCAGGCCATGCCCCTCTCAACACCTTTTGAGAAAGGCAAATGACCTGATGACATCTGTGTTAGAGAAATCATTCCAGTCCCACTGAGGGAAAGCGCTTTGAAGAGGCGAGACTGGAAGCAAGTCACGAGAAAGATCAGTGTGCCCCTCCTCATGAGCAGCAACGGACAGGGGCTGGTGCTTGACACAGCGGGCTAATCCTCCACCTGTGGTGTCAGCATCCCACAGAGATGCCGGTTCAAGTCCCAGTGCTCCACTTCTGATCCAGCTCCCTGTTTACGCCCTGGGAAAGCAGTGCAGGACAGGCCCTTGGGCCTCTGTACCTGTGTGGGACCAAGAGAAAGAGCTGGACATCGCAACCAACCACCTGGGGAGTGATCCAGACGTGTGTGTGTGTGTGTGTGTGTTGTGTCCTCTCCCTGTAACTCTAATTTTCAAGGAAAGATAAATAAAATTTAAAAGGAAAGGAAAGGACGAATAGACAGGTTATATTTCTGATGTGTAAACGGTAAAATGTGACAACTGACAATGAGAGTGGAAAGAAGTTCTCTAGGCTGAAGAGGGCTTGGGTATGTGTGACAGAAGTGACAGGCTGTTAAATTGGGGTGGGGAAAGAGGTGTGACACACAAGGAGGAGGCCAGGAGCTCTGGGAGGCCAGAGTGGACAGCACGGGGGAAGGGAGAGAAACCCAAGCAACCAGGGAAAGCGAGGACAAGAATTCATAGTGCAGGAAGACCCTTCCCAGGACTGCAGACACGTAACCACTACCTACAACCACAGGAGCCGAACAGCCTCGCCTTTCACTCTGAAAAGGTGTAATCAGATGTCATGCAATCAGGGGCCAGATGTGGTGCAGCATCCAGTCACCGACGCAACATCAGCATGGCTTAGGAGCTCCAGTGCAAGTGGCAGATGCTCCACTTCCAAAACAGCAGCACGAGTGTCAGGCCCCTGGCCATCGCACGGGAGACCCAGACAACGGGAGATCCAGCCGTGGCCCAGCCCTGGCTGCGGCCATCTGGGGGCTGGACCAGCAAAGATTCATTCATTCCCATTCATTCATTCTCTCTGTCTCTCCCAGCCCCACTGTACATCCTTCCACAATGGGAATGAGCTCTTTCAAATAAAGAACAATTTCAGAAATAAATAAAACTCAGCACTGCTCCCTCCCAGCCAGCTTCACACCCTGGACTGTCACAGGCAGCTCTTCCTACAGAACCACCACCTGTGTCTGCCTCTCACGGCCAGAGGGCCGCCTGGGCTCATCCCGTCACTCTGCTGGTACCCAACATTTCCTCTCTGGCAGAAAACCCCACGCAGGTGGGAGGACGGAACACAGACAGCAAGGCCAGGGAATCATCCGTGTTGGCCCTACTCAGGAAAGCTCCAGGGAATGCACAGCTCAACAAACCAGCTGAAGGCTCCTGCTGACCTTGGTAGCTCTGTGGTCCCTGCCCTGGTCAGGAGGTATCCTGTGACAACTGCTTTCTCTGCATTTACTATACTGAGTGAATGAACATGTGGATCATAAAATTACTCAACATTCTTCATTTCATATCCTTGCTGAAATACCTTTAGTTTCCTTTCAAATTGAAAATTACAAAAGGAAATTAATGAGAACAAAAGGAAAAGCTGGGTGGGTGTGTGGCAGCTTGGGACAGCCTCAGCCCGCACCAGAGCACGCAGGCTTCAGTGTCAGCTACTCCAGAAAGCCTGACCTGCCTGCTGGGGAGGTGCTCCATGTCAGCTACTCCAGAAAGCCTGACCTGCCTGCTGCCAAGGTGCTCCATGTCAGCTACTCCAGAAAGCCTGACCTGCCTGCTGGCGAGGTGCTGCGGGGTGACAGACCGCCCCAAGTGAGTCCCCGATGGCATTTCCGGCTCGTTTCCCTGGCCCACTCTGACTGCTGCAGGCAGGCATCTGGGGAGGGAACCAGCAGACAGAATCCCCAGATGTGCACAGGCTCGTGTATGTGTGTTTCAACAAAACGAAAATCAAGGCAGCAGTGTTCTACGTCTTAGCAAGGTTACACGGTCATCCCACTGGAAGAGCTTCTCGACCTCAAGTAGCTTAGCACAGCCTTACGCAACAATCTGGAAACTGCGTCTCCAAAGTACTTTCTAAGATAAATGTGAATACTGCCAATCAGCTAAAACAATATTTGGACCAAGGTCCAGAAAATCACTTAAATCAATTACCCAAACAAGTCTAACGCATTCTGGAAGCATCCAGCCACACGCACACACACACACACACACAAAAGAACAAATTTCTGAAAGTGTATCGTACAGCAAACAAAGGAATGTTTATGTATCAGTGCAGTGGAAAACACGCATTTTTACTGCTTTCTCACAACAATGTTCTTCCTGGTTCTGACACTACCTCAGCACTCAGCAGCCACAGAAAAACTGTTCCATTGCAAACCGGCTTCTCATCACGCTGAGCTCTGCACTCGCAGAGGACCTTGGCAAGAAACAGCGGGGATGGGGGCGGGGGCAAAACAACCTTGAGTGACCCACACCTTCTGACCTTCTGTAACTAACAAAGTAGAAATCGGAAACACCCTTTTCTGAGTATTAGCAGAATTCCACAAGGCAAAGCCACAGCGTGCTTCGCCGGCCAAGCACCACCGCTGCAGGGAAGAGCAGCCGAAGCTCACGAGTGCGGGAGACCGGATGTGTTTCCTAACAGCAAAGCCCGCTAACCGGACAGCACCCTCCTTGCTGCTTCTGTGGACTTTAAAGTCTAGCTTTCATTTCCACTCCCAGAAATGACAAGTTCCTAAAACTGAGCAGCTAATACATTTCTACAATTACTTTCCAGGCTTATTAAATTTTTTTCTTTAATATTGGTTGATTGAATCCTATGAAATTCAGAATTCTACTAAAAGAGGGAGACACAGGGCCCGGCACGATAGCATAGTAGTTAAAGTCCTTGCCTTGCACGTACCGGGATCCCATATGGTTGCCGGTTCTAGCCCCGGCGGCTCTGCTTCCCATCCAGCTCCCTGCTTGTGGCCTGGGAAAGCAGTCGAGGGTGGCATGAGGCCTTGGGAGCGTGCACCCGTGTGGGAGACCTGGAAGAGCTCCTGGCTCCTGGCTTCGGATTGGCTCAGCTCTAGCGGTTGCGGTCACTTGGGGAGTGAACCATTGGACGGAAGATCTTCCTCTCTGCCTCTCTCTTATTTCTGACTTTGTAATAAAAATAAATCTTTTTTAAAAAAAGAGGGAGACACAGAGTAAGACATCCATCACTGCATCACTTCTCAAATGTCTGTAAATTCAGAGCTGGGACAGACTGAAGAAGCAGGGACCGAGAGCTGCTTCCAGGTCTCCCTTCTGGGCGGTAGGACATCAAACACTCAAGCCATCTTCCACGGCTTCTCTGAAGCCATTAGCAGGTTCAGAAGTGGCGCACAAAAAATAAGCTAGTGCCCACAGAAAATGCCACCACGCCGGCACTAGCTGAGGAAAATGACACGTCAGGAAGAGGAGCTCCTCAATCAGCGAGCAGATCCAAAGCCAAGAACACAACTTGAGTCTTTCAGAGCATGACGGACTGTTCACGAGCCAGTACTTAAAACAGGAACTCAGGATTGAGATGTGTTCAGCAGCCATCAACCAAACAGTGCAACTGGAATGTGGGGGGCAATTCTCGACAGCAGAGCATCAGAACAGCCTTAGGCGGAGAACAGGGAATTAATTCCTAACCATAAGACTTCAGGACCCAATTTCCCCACCTGTGTCCGGGGTGGCCAGTCACTGTTCCATAAGTGCTTTTCCCATGCCTCTGTATTCTACAGAGCAGACTAAATTTCAAAGGAAAGACACTCTCTCTGTGTCTCTGGAGGTCCTCCTCGGGACTCATGACAACCATGTACATGCGTCCCAATGTAAAGGAAGCACGCCCCACAGCCCCACCCCGTTACCATGCAGACAACAAGCACACCAGGAAACGCTGCCCAGTTCACACGGTCACAGCAAGCTGATTGGTAAAACACACGCATAAAAATTCTCAAGTATTTCACTAGGATCATTATGGTAATTTTCAATTACTGATATTCCTTCATGTTAAAAAAATTCTAACTATTGAATTCTAAATAGAAAACGACCAGCCTGCTTTACATTAAGTTTATCCTATCAACTAAATGTGTAACCTTAACTGAAATCGAATTCCCACTAAGTTTCTATTTCAACATTTAAAAGTAATTCAAGCATGAGGAATCTTACCGTCCTAGAATCTGAGAACGGGTTATACTCGTCAAGTCCTGGTGGGACATTTCTCGTCACCTGTGTAACTGATGGATCCTGGAATAAGATTGAAAAGAGAACACGATTACTTATCCTGTAAGACAACTTAGCTATTTACTCAGTGCTCACTTCGTAACTGGTCAGCCGGCAAAGCCAGCAGAGGGTAAACAAAGGCCACGACCAGACTCCGCAGTGCTACGTAAGGGTGACAGCTTCACCTACTGCTTGGTTTGTTTGTTTACTTGTATTTGAAAGAGAGAGACAAGACATGTTCCATCTCCTTGTTTACTTCCCAAGCACCTTCAACAGCTCTGGCTGGATTAGCACAAAACCAATGCGAGCGTCCCACAGGATTGCCAAGACACACACACACTTGGGACATTGAATCACCTCCAGGAAGCTGGACTGGACAACGCAGCATTCCATCCCCGGCACTGTGGTGTGGGGTGCTATCACCCCAGAGGCATCCTAAGCACTGTGCCGGACACCTGCCCCAAGAGAGAAGCGTAAACCCACAACTCTCAAAGGAAAACCAACAAGAGGCAGGTGAGATGGGTACAGCTGCCGGCTGCTCCGCACACAGTGGACGGTCACCAGCCCCACGGGGCAGGCTGCACGGGCCGGCTGCTCCGCACACGGTGGACGGTCACCAGCCCCACAGGGCAGGCTGCACGGGCCGGCTGCTCCGCACACGGTGGACGGTCACCAGCCCCACGGGCTGGCTGCTCCGCACACGGTGGACGGTCACCAGCCCCACGGGGCAGGCTGCACAGGCCACTGCTCCGCACACGGTGGACGGTCACCAGCCCCAATGGGGCATACTGCACGGGCCACTGCTCCGCACACGGTGGACGGTCACCAGCCCCACGGGGCAGGCTGCACGGGCCGCTGCTCCACACACGGTGGACGGTCACCAGCCCCACGGGGCAGGCTGCACAGGCCACTGCTCCGCACACGGTGGACGGTCACCAGCCCCGCTGGGCAGGCTGCACAGGCCGGCTGCTCCGCACACGGTGGACACTTTCAACAAGAAATACATTGGTTGAGTTGATTACTTATCCAATACTTTTGCCAAAAAATGTTACACTTTACCTTCAACAAAAACCAAATGAGACCGTCACTTGTTCCTTCCTTGTCAGTGGTTCCTGAACTTGGGCTCACAATGAAGTCACAGGAGGGTTTGTTAAAATCCAAACTGCTGCATCCCACACCCACTTGCCCCTGTCTGCGATGCTCTGGGAGGTGCGGAGAAGGTGCCTCTCAGCCGGGAACGCTCCTGAAGCATGCTCATTGCACCGACCCACAGGGACACAGCAGGCCTCTGTGCACTGACGTTCCAGTGACAAGTGAGCTCGTTTCTCAGGGTTCAGCAGAACTCTCACGTCAAGCTAACGCTATCCCACCAACTTCTAGCAAAGCTACTTAACCTCATGGATTACTTAACCTCATTGCATTAAAAAAATCCAGTGCATTATGAAAACAAGCGGGTTTTTTTTTTCTTTTTTCAAAAAAGAGAGCAAGAAAAACACACACCTAGTATAATCAGCTTTGTGTCTTTAATTTCTGTTTCTTTACCAAACCGTCCAGGACAGGTGACACGCATCACACACATCAAATGGGACAAGCCTCAATCAGTGCCACCCACAAGATTCCAACCTCACAGACAGCTGAAAGTGAGGAACCTAACTCAAAAAACAACTTGTATAGCAATCAAAGTCAGGCCCTGCTTATGCTTCTCTGTCCATGTACGCTCCCTGAGCTGCACAGCAGTCCAGTAACACGAAAGTCCACGGGGACAGATGCGTACACCCACACACTGCATGTCCACTTACTGTATCTGCTGACCAACGGGGTTGGGTTTCAAGACCAGCATGCAAAACCTGAGTGTCTTCGGTTCTTGTTCCACAGGAGCAAGGGCACGTGTCCAGGAACCGGAAGCTCCGGGTTCTCGGCAATGACTACCTTTGACTCCAGGCAGGTCGCCTAAACTCGATTTTCGAGTCTTGATTTTCTCCTCCCTGGCTGTGAAAGACTACGCCTCAGATCATGTGTCTTGACTGTTTGGAAAACTGGCTGCCTATGTTCAAATCGCAGCTCCACTACAAACTCTGAGCAAGGCACCCCACTGATCCCCGCACTGCATGCTGTTCATGAGAAGAGCACACCGTACAGGTCACACGCTGCCACAGGTAAAGCGCTTACACCGCACCTCTGCCGGGCAACGCTGCCAAGTCAAGGTCAGACGAGAGGCTCTCTGCCTACCGTGAACCAAGAACTGAAGAAAACACAGCACGCTGTAGAGCAAGCAAGCGCAACGCGAACGCAAACCTCTGCCACCTTCCAAGGGAAGCAGCCAGAAACAGCCTAACCTTTGGGCGGTAAGAAAGAACGAGAAACCAGCACCTGTATGAAAGACAACACATCCGGGGAGCCATGCAGGTCCCCACTCCGGGGAGAAAGCAGATGAACTTCCAAACCTGGCAAATCGCAGCAGCAGCAGAGCCGACGCCAGCCATGGTGGAAAGAGATGAACAAAAAGCCGAGTCTTAAGGGAAGGAGGAAACGAAGCAGACAGCAGCGCGCTGGGGCTCAGGGTGAACAGCAAGTGCCAGGGCTGCCAACGCTGCCCCGGTGAGCACACAGTGGCCATGCCAACTGGGGAGGAGGGCAGTGTGCCCGTGGCCTTCACCACCTCCTGCAGGGCCTCCTGCAGCCACCTCAGCCCGAGGGTAAAACAGAAGAGATCAACTCCACCAGTCTTCAGTCTTCATTTGTGCAGCTCAACTTAAACCTGTTAAAGCGACATTGCTTCCTTTTGAAAACGGCTTCCACCGACTGTGGAAGATAGCCTGAAGTGGGGGAGCGAGTGGGAATCTGAGGCAGGAACCTGTGGGCTCCCAGGTGCACAGGTCCATGATGCCCGACTTTCCTTCCTGCTCAAGGACTCCTCACCGGCGGCAGTGCCAATATACAGGCCTTACAGTGACCACACACAGAACCAACAGTCTCTGCCTTTCAGATCCCACTGAGACTCTGTCAAATAGTGTCCTGGGGAAACTGGTGCAGTAGCCTAATGGCTGAAGTCCTCTCCTTGCATGTGCCAGGATCCCATATGGGTGCTGATTTGTGCCCCAGCTTCCCCACTTCCCATCCAGCTCTCTGCTTGTGACCTGGGAAAGCAGTATAGGACGGTCCAAACCTTGGGAGATCTGGAAGAAGCTTTGGTTCCTGTCTTCAGATCAGCTCTGGCCACTGCAGTCATTTGGGGAGCGAACCAGCAGACAGATCTTCCTCTCTGTCTCTCCTTTTTATATCTGCCTTCTCAATAAAAATATTTTTCTGGGCCTGTGCTGTAGCACAGCAGTTTAGCTTCCCCTTGGCATTACCAGCATTCCACACTGAAGTGCTCCTTTGACTCCAGTTCCAGTCCAGTCACCTGCTAATGTGCCAGGGAGAGCTACAGAACATGGCCCAAGGTCGGGCCCTGCTGACCTTGGGAGAGGTGGCTCCAGCTCAGCCCACCCTGGCCACTGCAGCCACCTGGGAGTGAGCCAACAGACAGCGAACTCTCTCTCCCTCTCTGTGTGTAACTCTGCCTTTCAAACAAATATACCTTTAAAAAGAAAAGGTTTATTGTCACAGTATGTCTAAATAAAATCTGCTGTAAGACTTTGAATCAGCATGAACATCTACTGGTCCTACAATCTTGATCCCCAGCAGATTCTTAACTGTCCCCAGCGCACATGCTGACCTGAGACTCGACCATCCGTAACTGCTGCTCATCTCGCTTCACTGAACCGCACGTTTCCCCTTCTTCAGCATTCGCCTCGTTGTGTGCAGGGCAGTAGACACACAGCCCTGAGCTATCTCCCAGGCCAGCTGAGAAGCTCTAAGACTTCAGTTACACAGATGTGCACAACAATGCAAACAGCCTCATTAATAACAGCTGTACCCTTTAGACGAGGGGCTGTGGGGCACGTGAACGCCATCTCAAAGTTGTTCACGGGAAAAAAGACATTAGCTGTAACACAGCTTGGGAGACAGGGTGAAAAACGGTTATAAATCCATATACCTTCAAGAGCTAAAAGACCAGGGGACCAGGGCTATGGCACAGTAGGCGAAGCCTCCAGCTGTGGTGCCAGTAGCCCATAAGGGCACTGTCTAAAGTCCTGGCTGCTCCATTTCTGATCCAGTTCCTGCTAACATGCCTGAGAAAGCTCCCGAGGATGGCCCAAGTGCTTGGGTCCCTGCACCCATGTGAGAGACCTGGAAGAAGTTCTCGGCTTCAGATAAACCCAGCTCCAGTCACTGTGGCCATTTGGAGAGTGAACCAGTGGATGGAAATTATCTCTCTCTCTCTCTCAAATAAAAATAGATAAATCTTTTAAAAATATATAAAGATCAGCCATCTCACTGCCCTTATTAAATAAAGAAAAATGCTCATTAAGAAAGAGTGGGGAGCATGAGATGAGGTTGGAATCTGCAATTAGTGCTACAGAATACTTAAGCGTTCATAACTTACACAACCCAAAGTCCTCAAATCTGAGAAACTGAGTGACTACCAGAGCTAGTCTCGTATCAAAAGTCTAGAGACCAAAAAAGAACAAAGAACAGGAAGATACCTGGTCAAGTGTTTATCCAACCGGCCAACAGTAAAGAACAAGCAATGGCAGAGCTGGCGGAGCTGGCGTCCCAGGGTGGGAGAAGAGCAGAGCCCCCCACAAACCATCGCTCCAACACAGCAAACTGCCAAGTCAGTTTTTTAACAGAAAAGGAGTTTGTCATGCACAGTGGTTCTCTGCCAGCACAGTTGAGTTTTTTACTTGTTACAACTTTCCAATAAAAACTAAATAAATCTTAAAAAAAAAAATGGATAATTAAAAAAAAAAAAAAGAAACCATGACATGCCAGAGCACTTACCATTAAAAGTGCAAGATGTATGAACAAATATTGAAAGAGCGTGCCCTTTTCCACCTGATGTGGGAGCATGGACCCTGAAGTGCTTCCTGTGGCCTGGCTCACTGAGGGGGTGAGCAGTCAGACCTGCCCGAGGACCC